TATTGACAAGGCCAAAACATTGATTAAGTTTTCAACCAAAAGGGGAGGATGGAGAGCTGAAGACAATAAACAAGTATCACCACCGAGCGATATATACAAAATTAAGGTTAATGAGTTATCAGAAATTCGACTTACAACAATGTAAAAATTCGTGTTAAAGACGAATACGACACCAAAAGCATTTGTGAGCAAATTGTGTCGTGTAATCCGGTGTTGATAAAAGCAAAACTGGCTGGAAGTGGCAAGAGTTATATAAGCGAATATATGAAACATCTAGGTTATAATGTGTTATTCGTATGTTCTAATAACAAGCAGAAGCAAGAAACCGAAGCCGACGCCATAACATTAAACAATTTTTTTAGCATCCCAATAGAAGCTGGAGAAAGACTACCGACATTTGACCATTCTGATTATAACTGTATTGTGTTTGATGAGCTAGGTATGGCGGGTAATTATATTTTGAACAGAGTTAGGGAGTTTAAGGATACGCTCCCAGAGAAGATAATTATAGGAACTGCTGACGGGAAGCAGCTGAAACCTATAGCTGATTTAACTAACACCCAGGACCACGAGACATATTTAAACAACTGTCTTAATCAAATATTTAAATATAAGATTTATCTTAAGATATCTAAGAGACTCAAGACAGAAGAAGATAAAAATTAAATTGAATGATATATATATACAATGACATTTGGAAAAGTAAACTGCACTTCAAGGAAATAGTAAATAAACATTTTGAAACTACAAGCGACATCATGGAAGGAGAGCATAACATAGCCTATACTAATGCTAGGTGCAAATGGGTAAGCAAGACCGTAAGAAATAATTTAGGAAAGACAGATAAATATGAAATTGGAGAGCATGTGATATGCAGAATTTATAAAAAGGAAATGGGGCAGGTGTTTAATGTAAATATTACTTATGAAATTATTAGCATTGATGATTGGAAAGTAGAAATCCAAGATATCAAAAGTAAAACTATATTCATGACAAACACCACGACTTTAGACAAGCACTTTATACATGCGTATTGTGCTACATGTCATTCGTCTCAGGGGGCTTCTATACATAAAAGCATTACTATACACGAATGGGATAAATCACATTTGGTCAGCCGTGAGTGGATTTGGACAGCGATTACAAGGTGCAGAGATATCAATAAAGTCAAGTTCTTCAAAGCAGACATAGATGATACTGATTTAAATGAAGCACAAGTAACCAGATATTTAGAACATAAGATTAAACAATATAAATTACAAGACATGAAAGCAGAGAGAGAGAGATAGACAACAAAAAAATATATTGATGTCAAATGGTTATTTGACAGGCTTAATACCAGATGTAATAAATGCAGTTCAGAGTTTGAAATAGAAATAAATAATGGAGTAATAAATAGCAATATGACAGCCCAAAGAATAAACAACGATTATGCCCATCATAAGGAAAACTGTATATCTTACTGTTTAAACTGTAATCGCCGGGAAAAATAATATCTATCTTATTTTATATGGCATCTAAGCAAGATATTATTAGTAATGTTTATTATGATAAAGGAGGCTTCGGGTCAAAGAACCGCACTTTACAAGAAGCAAGAAAAAAGATAACATAATAACTATAAACGGTATTAATGAGTTTTTTAGGAAGAATGTAGAACAGAAAGCTAAACCGAGAGGGCAGAATTCATTTGTAGCTCCTAACGCATATTATGAGTTTCAAATTGATTTATTTTTCATTAATGACATCCCTAAACAAAAAATGAAAGTTGGCATGATGTGTATTGACATATTTTCTAAGTATATGGTTGTTGTCCCGCTTATGTCAAAACAGCCAGCGGACATTTTAGCAGGACTGATGGAATGTATTAAAAAAATGGGTGGAAAGCCCAAACTAATTTATATTGACGATGAAGGAGCTTATAACAATCAAAGTGTTATAGATTTCTTGAAGGGTGAAAAAATAGAGTTGCACAGAACCAGAGGACACCCAGCATTTGCGGAGAGGGCGATAAGGACGTTTAAAGATAGCTTGGATAAGAGGGTTGAAAACGATGAGAAAAAAGGAAAGGCTATTCAATGGACAGACTACATACACGAGATTATATTAACCTATAACAATGGAATAAAGCACACTTCGCACGGCTTAACACCGTCAGAAGCAAGAAAGCCTAAACATCAATTAGAAGTGAGTTTAAACTTAGGTATGAAAGCCAAAAGAAATAGAGTTTATCCAGATTTAAATGTAGGAAATGAAGTTAAGATATTCAGGAAAAGGAGACCAAATGAAAAGGAGAGAGTAGGAGTATGGACTAAACAAACCTACAAAATAGCAAAGATTGAAAAGAAGTTAGGTCAGGAATATTATTATATTGAAAATTATGACAGGGCATTTTTGAGACATGAGTTATTAAAGGTATAAATTTATTTCTTGTAAAAAAGTATTTAAAGAAATAAAAACTATATATATTATAATAGAAATGGTGGAAACCGAAATCAATAATTATATCAAAAAAAATGATATGATTGTTGCCACTTAAAAAAAGAAAACATGGAATTATATAAATTGAATTTACCTAATGGAATAATCAATAATATTATTGGTTATGCTTTGGGCAAAGAAGATGAATGTAAAATTTGTCAGGAATGGAGAGATAATCAAGAATTAATCAGATGTCAGATAAATCTGAAAAGAAGACATAATAGAAATGTTGAAGACGACATTATAATATTTTTAACTGTGTATGAAAGACCACCTTATAGTTATGTTAGAATATTTCTCAAAATCAGTAAGAAAAAGTATGAACTGATTAACCACATTTTATGGATATTGTTACATCGTAGAAGAGAAGGGTGTGATGTAAAAGAAGACATTAAATCAGAAATTGAAAGCAAAAAGTTTAATGTGAAAAATACCGTGAGAGATATCAATATTATTATTAAAATGATGTATGAAAGAGGTAAGATATATACACAATTTAATAGTCATCAATTAATTTATTATCCTGAATTTAAACTATAATCATACAATAATAATAACATGTAAAATATTATATGTTATAATTATATTTCAATATTCAATTTTATTTCTTGTAAAAAAGTATTTAAAGACATAAACACTATATATATTATAATAGAAATGGCGGAAACCGAAATCAATAATTATATCAATAAAAAATTAATATGATTGTTGCCACTTTAAAAAAGAAAACATGGAATTATATAAATTGAATTTACCTAATGGAATAGTTAATAATATTATTGGTTATTCTTTGGACGAAGAAGATGTATGTAGAACGTGTAGAAGATGGAGACGATATCAAAATATAATAGGAAATTGTTTGGCGTTTAAAAATATAGATGAAAGAAATGTTGAAGATGAAATATTGATATTTTTAACTGTGTATGAAAGACCACCTTACGATTATGTTAAACAGGTTCTTAAAATCAGTAAGAAAAAGTATGAAATGATTAATGACATATTATGGATGTTCATTTATTATAGTAAACCCGGCGTTGATGTAAAAAAAAAGTCATAAAATCATATATTGAAAGTGAACAGTTTAATGTTAAAAATACAGTGAGAGATATTAATCTTATTTTTAAAATGATGTATGAAAGAGGTAAGATATATCAATTAAATTATTATCCTGAACTTAAATTATAATCATAATATAATAATAACATGTAAAATATTATATGTTATAATTATATTTCAACATGTAATTTTATTTCTTGTAAAAAAGTATCTAAAGAAATAAACACTATATATATTACAGTGGAAATGTTATTTAATTATTCAAAGTGCGAATGTTGTACAACTAAAAGGAATGATGTTAATATAACATTGTATAAGTTATTACCTGCTAATCTGTGTAGTAAAATAAGTGAATATGATGTATATTGTAATCAATGCTGTATAACAAGAGACCTTGAAACGTTTTTTGTTGAAAAATATAAGGATAAGGGATATACAAAGTTTCAATTACAATTGAAATTCTTTATGAGATATCACAAAAGATTTCCTGTATATTTTTGTCATAAAATTGCAAGAAAGTCATTTGAAAAAGAAATTGATGAGTTCTTTAATAATAAAGGTTTGATTAAAAGGTTTGGAGGGACAAGCGCAATTAAACCATATAAAGCATTTGTTAAAAAAAATCGAGGCATGTTTGATGCGATTGATTGGCATTTATTAAGTAAAGATAAAACAAACGAGGTCTTGAATGAATTTAGAATAACTAAATATCATGTATGGTATTACTACAACACTAAATATCAAGTATGGCTACTAGTTAATTTGCTTTTCTGGGAATATAGTTATTCAATAATAGGAAAAGACAATATCAAATATATAGATAAAGATGATATAGATAAATATGTAGATTACATATTTGGAGACATATTTCCTGACTATTAATTTAACCCATAATTCTTAATCATACTATGATTATAACATTTATACCCTTATATGTTATAATTATAATGTAAGTATAGCGTTTTGTATATTGAAGATAAAATCCTACAAGGAGGACCACGCCTAAACAAATATATGATAAAAGTGATGAATCGAAGGAGGGGAGTGATGTTGTTGCTGTTCTATTTTTTGTCCGAGAAATGGACAAATCGTTTTTAGACAGTTCGAATATTTTTTGATGACAAATATGTTTTGCAATAAATTTTGCAAAATTTATTTTGTTGAAATGGATGAGGTGAGGAGATTGAGGAAATGATATTTTGAAAGGTAGTTGGTGAAATGAATGAGGCGAGGAGGAAGGAGAAAAGGATGGCGAAAATTTTGGAAAAGTGATGAGAAAAAAACGGATGAGATGGACAGAAAGGAATGTAGAAAAATGATGAAAACAAATAAGGGTAGAAGATGGAAGATGAAAAAAGTTGTAGGGGGGGTGTATGTATGAAAGCAATTTATTGCTAGGCGTGGCCCTCGACTACTTATTAACCCCCCTTCGCAGAGGTCGGAACCGCAGAAGCCACGTGGCGCACTCCTCAACCACGTCGGCCCGCCACTCGTCCAAGGCAAAAGGACCGCGGAGGACCTGAAACCGACAGAGCATCTCTTCAAAGGTTGATCAAGTTACTGGCGGTTTTCATGGAAACCCCACTTTTGAAGGCTCCAAAAAGGGAAATGGAGGAAACCCTGGAGAGTGCGTGAAACGAAACAAAAAGGAGCAGCCTTGTGGTTTCCACGGGTCCCTTCCGTTTCTCGGAAGGTCTGCAAGAGGAAAGATGTCCTGTCTGATCGTCAACGAAGAGCGGGCGTTGGCTGACACCCTCAAGAGGCACCCGCTGTCTAACAGAAGCTCACGATCGGATTTGGGGAGACGAAATCTTTCCTTGAGAACGTGGTCCCCTTCTATGGTTGGAAAGGGAGAAGGTCAATTTCAGATTCACCCAGAGTACCATACCAAGCAGAGTGTTCTCCCTGGTAAAGTAGGAAACTACTTCATGTGGGCCTCCGGATTCCCAAGTTGACACCGACCATGCAGGAAGGACCTCAAGTGTTCTGACAGGCGCAAATGTTTGAAGCGAGTCTGGCCCTTGAAACGGAAACCCAAAGATGGGGGTTCAACAGTTGCTGCTTAAAGCGGGCGGCCAACCCCTCAGGTGAAGCCAGCGAGCCGGTAGGCCAAATTTCAGAGCCGCCCTTTTCCCCGCATAGCACGGAACAAGGCGTCCAACGGGGGTGTCTAGTTTTAGGGGACCCCCAAAATGGTGGATTTTGCCTGATTCTGACTTTAAAACCACCCCCAAAAAACGACACCCTCAATGGAGACTCTCAGTCGTGAGGCTTACGAAAACAGAACAACCGAAGGTCCCCCGTGCGCGCGTGCGCGTACGCCAGGCCTCCTTTGGCGGATATCTGTGAAGGGCCTCGCAAGATCACGGCCGTCGGGCGAGGTCTGACCCAGCAAGTGGTCCATCAGCCGGTCACCAATAGCAATCTACCAGGGGCATTGCTACATCCTAGAAAAGCAACGCCTGGTTTCTGGTTGCCTGCACCTTAAGGTCGCACTTCTTCAAAGCCAAAGGCCACTTCTGCAAACGTAACAAGTCGTATAACATTCAGAAACTCCAGGGGTAAGTGAGTCTAAGACTCTTTCCTTCATTGCTGGTATCCAACGTATTTGGCCTGGCTTCCTCTCATTTGCCCTTGGCTTCCCCCCTTTCCCCCATACAAACAGGCCGCGTGGTTTCCCCTATCTCCAAACACCCGGTGGTGCCCGGCCATCGGGCCATCGGGCCATCAGGCCATCGGGGCTTCGGGCCATGGCTGCGGAGGCGGCGAAGTCGTCCGGCAGCGGGGAGTCTTCTTTGTGGGCGAAGTCTCAGCAGATTTCCCACGGCCGAACGCTTTGCTTGAGAGGGTTGTACACCGAGCATGCGTGCACGGATGTCGTGATGTACTGTAATGCATGCATGTACGTGGGCAGGGCGTGCTTGCGTATGTACGTAGGAATGCATGCATGCGTGCATGCGTCAATGCGTGCATGTTCGTATGCGTGTTCATATGCGTGTATGTATGTATGAATGTATGTATGTATGTATGTATGTATGTATGTATGTATGTATGTATGTATGTATGCGTGCGTGCGTGCGTGCGTGCGTGCATGCATGCATGCATGTATGTTGGAAGGGCATACATGTTGATGTATGCATGCATGCATGTGGGATGGGCGTACGTATGTCTGTGTGCATGCATGGGTGGATGCATGCACGCTCCAAGTATGAATGTGCGTATGCATGCATTCATGAATGTATGCATGCATGCTTGCATGTGTGTATGTATGCATGTATGTAGCATGCACGTGTGTGTAAGTACGTGTGTAAGTAAGCATGCGTGCAGCAGCAGCAGCAGCAGCAGCAGCAGCAGCAGCAGCAGCAGCAGCAGCAGCAGCAGCAGCAGCAGCAGCAGCAGCAGCAGCAGCAGCAGCAGCAGCAGCAGCAGCAGCAGCAGCAGCGCATCGCAACGCAACACGAGCACGCACGCACACGCACCCATGCGTGCATGCATGCGTGCGTGCATGTGCGCGAGCGCAGGCGTATGCGTGCGTAGGCGGGCAGGCAGGCAGGCAAGTTGGCACGCATGCATACATACATGCATGTGTGCATGCCATCCAGTACGAGTGCCTGTGCACATGCATATAGATATGTGGCTAAATATTTGTGTGTGTGTGCGCATGCGTGTGCCTGCATATATATAAGCGAGGGCCGGCCCGGCCCAGCCCCCAAATTGCCTGGCAAAACTCTTGACACCCCCCCCTCCCCGGCTCAAGCCAGAGTCATCGCTTCGAGCACCCGGCTGATCTCTTGCAAGGAGGCGAGCTCCTGGCTTTTGTTACGGTCCCGAGAGAAGCTTTCACGCAGCCCCTCTGCAGGTCCGAGGAGCTAGGGATAAGCCGCCAGCCAGCTTTGAGACCTCTCACTCCCGCAATGCACAAGGATCAATTCAACGCTGGAAAACGCGGAAAGCATGAAGAAGTTGAAGGCCGACATAAAGGGCCGAGGTAGAGTTCTGGAAAGGACAAGGACTCAATGAGTTTCTGACAGTCTGACAGGCCGAAGTTTCTGGCCCGTGCCACCTGCAACGCCAATAGGGGCCCAGTCCCGCAACCGAAACCCAGGCAATGGCAGATTGAAACCCTAACTATACTAGGAAACCACCCCCCCGGAGAAAAGAAAAAGACATACAGAAGCAAAGAGAGAGGGAGCGAGGGAGCGAGGAGCGAAGAAGTGAGGGAGGAGACTCACCGTTTGACCGAGAGAATAGAGATGAGAGAGGAGAAAGAGACTTCACTTTGTTCATCACTTTCTCTTCCTCTCTTCCCTTTATTCATGCTCGTGGTTTCTCGTGGTTTGCCCGTTTGCCAAAAAATGAGCCTCAGTTTCCCCATACCCTCGTCTGGCCCCTGAAAAACCTTCCGTCAACCTATATAGACACCCTACCGCAACCAAAGTTGACCTATTTCCTCATAAAACTGGCCTCGTTATTCTACCACGATCAAGCTCACCCCCTAAGTGATGGCTTCAAGGGAAACAACCCCACTTTCTGACTTTGATAACCCCTAGAAACGGTCAACATAATGACCCCAGACAAAACCAGGGGAACCCATTCTCAAGAAAATCGACGCGCCCATTTCGCGTCCTTGAAGATCTCCTCCTGTGGCCCAGCAGCGCGCACCTGCTCCACCTGCCGCTCCGGCCGGCCAAAGGCCGCTCCGGAAACCGGTTGGGCTGGATCCCTTTCGCCTGGAAATTTGGGACACCCCGAAACCATGGGTCTGTGCGCGTGTGCTTGGTAGCCTGTAAAATTTGTAGTGTTTTTTGAATCTGAACTTGGGGCATTTTCCCAGAACTGTAAGAGGTGGAAGCTGAAGTTCATAAGTATTGTGTTTGCCCAATTTCCACATGCCTAGTAAGAGGCCTGCTTAGCCGATTGGCGCACATCCAAGCTTGAAGGTCCTGCAAAAGGGTTGAATCATCCAGGACATCCAAGCAACCTCAGAAGACAAAAGGCCAAACAATCTTGAGAAACATATTAGGTGGCCGCCCCGAGCTCTTGGTGTATGTAACACATGTGTGTGTGTGTGAGTGTGGATGCGTCGGTGTGTGGGTGCGTGGGTGCACTTGTACCTGCGCGTGCACGCGCCTATGTGTGGGTGTGCGCTTGCGCTTGCCTCTGCAAGTTCGCGTGCGTTTCTTTTGCCCATGGGTGTGAGTGGGTGTGCATGTCAGTGTGAGTGTGCGCGTGCGTCTGCGTGTGGGTGTAGGTGTGGGTGTGGGTGTGGGTGTGGGTTCGCTTGTGTGTGTGTACGTGTGTGTGTGTGCGCGTGTTTGTGTTTGTGTTTGTGTTTGGGCGTGTGATTACTTCTTGAGGGTACCTGGGTATTCTTTTTGGGGTTGTGGTAAATATTGAAGGAAAACCGCAAAGGCAACCACCCTTTGCAGGTTCCCCCCATGTTTTGACACCTCAGTTGGTTCCAAGGCTGGCACGTACTCAAAGAGCAAGGCCAGGATTTCTTCTCTGTGTGCATCTCCCTCGGGCCTCTGCTGCGCATCCCATCCCTTCGGCACCAAACAATGAGGCTTGATGGGCGCCTTTCGGAGACTAACACGGAACTCCGCAAACTAACCGAAGGAACTCCCAAGAAACCTTATCCATCTGAAGAACTCTCCTTTTGGGAGACGGATTCCTTCTGTTCGGATTCCTTCGGTTCACTTGCAGAAAAACTCCAGAAAAGCGCCGCCGGGGTCGGACCGCCGCATCGCGGCGATAAGCTCGAACCGCATCGAGAACCCCGGCGTCAGAGAGATGTTCACGGCGAAAAGCTGCTCCTCAGCGGTCGGATGACGTCCCAACTCTTGGCCCAAGCAGGAGTGAACCACACAGGAAATCATATGGATGTGTGTGTGTGTGTCTTTTTTAGGGGACCCCGCAGATGGTGGTTTCCCCCTAAAACCAGCCAAAAGGAGGGTACCCTCAGAAAATGACACCTCTATACCTGCACATGTTTCATCTTTCGCCCAAGCGAAGCGTTGAGGAGACCCCAGGACTCCCAAGAAGACAGCCAAACCCCGATTGGCACTTGCCGGCCTGGAGGCCTTTGAAGGCGACAGGGAGGTCGGGTTGGCGATGAAACAGCTGCTAGCAGGGCGTAGCGGTATTGCATCGATAGACAGCACGTAACAGCAAGTCATGTCTTACATATGCTTTTACATATGTATATATATATAGGATGTATGTATTGACTGAGTTGGTTCGTTTAATTTATACATGGGTGTTTGCATGGTTGTACTACCTATCCATGTATTGATGTCTTTAGCTATGTGCCTATTTATTGTTTGATCTATGTGGTGATTGATCTTAATATGTATTTACACATTTGTTTAGTGTGGTATTGGTTTATCAATGTATTTACCTACACCTGCATATTTTGAGTTCTGAATTTTAATGTATTGAAAAACAAATGCAAATGATTTGTATATTTGTATGATACCTATGTGAGCCTGCGCGTATCTGTACATGTCAATATGCAAATCAACTATATACACGTTGCTAATATGCATCAAGAAAGCCACAGCTTCCAAGCAGCACCTGGCCCTTGAGGCCCTGGCATCCGTGAAAGACTGCGCAGTTCCTGAGCTGAGGACTCGGTGCGCGACTGAAGCAAATTGAAGATGTCGCCTTTGCTCGGTATCCCAAGGGACCAAAAGGAAACCAACTTCTGTGGCATGCTTTCATTTTCTGTTGCCGAAGATATAAGACCCACACCCACTCCAGTGATTCAAAAGGCAACCAACCATTTATGGGCAAAGGACCTGAAGATGCGGTTCGCCTTTTGGACACATGAGTCAT